TAAATGAAGGCAAAACGCGAACAGGCATTTAGTACATGAGCACCCTTTACCTAGTATTTGCAGTATCTGCAGCTTCTCCTTTGATAATTTGTTGATTCATTGTTATCAGCGTTATAAAATAAACTGCACTAAACACAACAATATCATACTCAATAATTAATTTATCAAAAGCACCGTCAGTTTAATAACGCAATTTGTATTTGAAAAGTTTATCAGATCTACAGATGCACCCGCACTAAGAGGAAAATGTCGAATTCAAAGTGCGTCCCAAGCCTCAGGCGCGAAGAGGCCGGAGTGGAAGCCGTGGTGGAATCAATTGATTTTTCTTGAGTTGATGCACTAATCCCTTATGAAAATTTTTCGGCTCTTTATAAAACCTTTGTGTCGTAGTGAGCGATAATGTTCTTTTATAATAAATTAATTGGTACGCGTTTCATAATTTTTAACTGACGGACAATGTGAAAGTTGTGGGCCCAGTTGCCTTTTGGAAGCGTTTTTGTACGAATGCGTTCATCAGAAATCTCACGAAAAGAAGATGCGAGTTTTTAGCAAAATATCGCCCACAAACAATAGGAACAGACATCGACAGAACATTTCATTAAAATTAATCTGAGCGCTTTAACGCTATTATAAAACACTCAATTTAAGTGTTGTTAATGTAAAAGTTAATAAGTCAGTTGGCAAGAGGACAGAAATATTTTTTGCGCAAAACTATGAATGCTGCAAGATTTTGCAAAAAGAACAAAAACGTCTTAAAAAGATTAGTGCATCAACTAAAAAATAATCAATTAATTCCAGATTTCTCTGAGAATTTATCTGAGAAAGAATTCTTAGTCTGCTAACTCTACTGCTTATTAACCAGTTCCGTCCATATACAAAAAAACCACTAGTGCCTTTGGAAAGTTCTAAGCCGAACTTCAGATTGTTAATTGTTTTGTGCTGGTTCCAGATAATTTGACTGTTTTTATTCGAAACTGCACTGGCACTGGGGAATGGAATCAACAAAGCGACTTCTCTTAGCCGGACGATCTTGTCCTTTCACCGGCAGTCCGGCAGCTGTAAATCTGCATACCGACTATGCTGATTTAACAAGGTTCCACAAATAGAGCAGGAGAAAAACCGACCGGTTCCAATCGCTTTTAAATGCCATTTTACTTGGATCTGTTTTAACAGTTCAATAAGTGGCATTGTTCACCGAATATCTCGTCATTTATCGATTTCAATTCCTTTTGCTTGATTGCTTTGATCAATGGAGCCTAAATCTGACCATTCAGGTGTCCTCCATATTTGCAACCAAACTGCCGAACAACGCCTCATTTCTAAAGGCTTTGTCAACAATTTTCGCCAGCTGGTTGTTTGGGCCTTCAAACGTTCTCGATATTTGCACCAAAGCATTGAAAAAATGCGCACTTTTCAAAGTTTCTCAACAAATTTCCCGAGAATATTGCGGTTGGACACTTCATTTGCACAGTTGCAGACAGTCAAAAATCGCTTTTTTCTAGGCTTTCTTAAGATTTATACCGATAGTATTGATTGATTCGACTTCCAGATTTTCCATTTCCAACAATTCAAAAAGCATTTCTTTCTCAATGCAATTTCCGACAATTTTAACAGTTGTTTTGGCCTTGGCTTTGTCTCACATTTGCAACCAAACAGTGAAAAACGCCAATTTTTCAACAATTTTCACGAGAAGGTTGTTTGGGCCATCAAATGTTCTCGATATTTGCACCCAAGCATAAAAAAAACGCGCGCTCTTCAAAGTTTCTCAACAAATTTCCCGAGAATATTGCGTTGGACCCTCAGCTGTCCACCTCATTTGCAAATACAGTCAAAAATCGCTCATTTCTACCCTTTCTCAACATTTTTACCGATAATATTGACGGTTCATGCGACTTCCAGATTTTTTCATTTCCAAACAGTCAAAAAACACTTGTTTCTCAAGACTTCCTCAACACATTTCCCGACAATAGTAACAGTTGGCTTGGCTTTGGCTTTGTATTCCATGTTTGCAGGCAAGCAGTGAAAAAACGCTCATTTTTCAACAATTTTCAACTCCTCAAAACTTCTCCAGCAATTTTCCTGGGAATACCGCCAGTTCTTTAACCTTCAAGAGTCATAATTGTTTCGATTATTCATTTGCAACCAAACAGTCGAAAAACGCTCATTTTACAAGAATTTCCGAAAATCTCCTGGGGATATCGACAGTTCGTTAAAATTTCTATTGTCCGCGACACAAAACAGTTAGAAACTCTAATTTTTTCGCTTTAGAGCATCCACGTTTTCCATTTATACGCACTCATACTC